CCCCTGAAGCAAAACACAGAGGACAAGCCGGATATAATCCAGCGTTTTGGCGGTGATGGATGTCGTGGGGGAGGAGACGATGGAGCGGCCCCAGGAGTAGATCCCCAATAGCGCCCAGAGGCGGAGGATAACCCTTGACTCGGACATCAACGCCGAGAGGTTGTTGAGACGTTTGGCGAGGAGGGTGGCGAGGGTTTTGCGGGCGATGGGTTGGGAGGTTTTGGAGAGGAGGGTGGTTATGTGACCAGAGGTGAGGACTGAGGCGGCGAGTTTGGAGGTGTAGCATAGCAACAGCATCACTGTGTCGATCCCTGAGGGGGTGGACATGCATTTCTCGAGGCGGGAGAGGAACAAGTTTGTGGAGGAGGGGAGGTTGGCGAGGAGGGTGGTTAGGGGGAGGGTGTTGGGGGGGGTGGTCAACGGTTTGGAGGGGGAGGGGATTGGGTCGCCTGAGGGGAGGTCGGCGATGGGTTGTTGTTGGGAGGGGATTTCGGCCGGGGCGGTGTCGGTGGTGGACATGATTGCGGTGGTTTTTGGTGGTGGTGGTGGTGGTGGTGATGATGAAAATGTGGTGTGTTGTTGAGGTGAAAGTGAAAAGGAGAGGTGAGATGTAAATGCGACAAGGCTGATAGAGCTCGCTCTCGGTAAAATAGCTTTCGTGCGGGGAAGAAAGCTCCAAAAATCTCCAGGAACAAATCAAGCCGTGCTCTCTCTCCAACAAATTGAAAGATGATGAAAGAAATAGAAGGAAAGAAAAAAAAGAGAAAAAAGAGAAAAAAGCTGGCTATCGAATTCCGAACCGGGGGACCCGTCCGCATAAAAACATTCCTCCTCAACTCGTCGTTCCAGGCGCCTAAACCACCAACTTATTACCTACCCCAAAATCCCCACACGTCACCCGCGCCCCTCTGACAATGTGACCCGAACTCACAATCCGGGGTCCGCTGCCCAGCCGAACTTCGCTGGCTCGCCAGAAAGAGCACAAAACAACGCGCCAAGCAGCTCGGCCGCCGTTCAACAACCTCGGCTCGCCGCGGCAGACCATCCCGCCTTGCCCGCGCCCCCCTTTCTTCCGCTCACACCATCGACGGAACATTCTCTCATTGGTGGTTGGCCCCAAAACACCTCCACCGAGATGAAATGCATCAAGATCTTATCAATCTAATCATTGATCATCTTCCCTGTCCATCTCTTAAAAACGGCCAGGGTGTCTGGTCTTGGGCCGTCTTGGAACAAGACTGACTCGAGCAGACGGCACGTGGGATTCATCCCGGGAACCCGGACCGCTGGATGGATGGATGGATGGATCGTCGATCATAGGTACAAGAAGCACCTGGTTGAGCCATTATAATACTTCGAGAAGTCCTCAGCAACGTTTCACGGGTGTCAATATTTGATGATACATACAGCAGAAAGAAATTCGTTTGCCCCTAGTCTATTTCCCGCCAAAAATGAAAAGCCAGTCTAGCCCATGTTCTATTAGGTTAGGTGCCCACCCCCGAGACTCCGTCATTAACAAGAAAAACTACACAAAGGGAATGATGAAAGCCCGCTCATCCATGATCGCCACGCGGTGGACCTCGAAACGAGAGAAGAAGAGATTGGCTCGAAAACCAGTCTACTCGCGAGAAAGATCGCGACCGAAGAGCTTGGACTTGAGCCAGTCGTTGATGACCAGCAGACGATTCCTGGTGCTGAAGCACATGCTGATGTAGGCGCTTCTCCAAAAGAGGTAGGTCAAACCACCGGCGGCGGCAACGTTGCCGTTGAACCATGTGACGTCAGCGACAGCCTTCTCGCTGCCAATATAAGCGAGGGAACCCTGGTGACTGTAGTGGAAGGGCTTCACGTCCTTGATGCGGCGGAGCTGACGCTCATACTCCTCAATCTCACGCGAGATCTCGGCCGTGTTGCCGGGCTGGAGGTTGAGAGAACCGCTGAGCTCAGCAATCTTGTTCTCGAGAGCCTCAGTCCTGGCCATGTTGTTGAACAGGCGCGCGAGGAAGTTGCCCTCTTGACTGGCAACCTGGGCGGTGGGGGCGTAGCCGGCAACGGCGCAGTCACCGACAGCCCAGATGTCGCGGGCACCTTGCACAACAAGATACTCGTTTACAGCGAGGCCGCGGCGTGAGTTCTTTTGCGCAGGGATACGCTGCATGAGATCCTGGACGACGGGACGAACGGCGTTGCCGGTAGCCCAGACGAGAAGACCGTAGGGGAATACAATCGTCTCCTTGGTGCCGTCAGGGCGAGTAGCCACAGCCTCAACCGTCTTGTCTGTGACCTTCTTGACCATGGTCTTGGTGTGAATGTTGATCTTTTCCTCCTTGAAGGTGCTCTCGGTGTACTCGATGAGCTGCTTGGAGAAGCTAGGGAGGACGTTGGGGAGAGCCTCGATCAGCGTCACGCGGAAGCGATCGCTGATCTCGGGAACCAGCTTCTTGATGTCCTCCTCGAAGAAGTCCTGCAGCTCGCCGGCGAACTCGACACCAGTCGGGCCACCGCCAACCACCACCATGTGCATGAGACGGTCAATCTCCTCGGGCGACTGGTCCTTGAAGGCAGCCGTCTCGACGCAGTCCATGATCCTTTTGCGGATTCTTTGAGCGTCACCAATCTCCTTCAGGAAGCATGAGTGCTCGCGGACGCCAGGGATGCCAAAGGTCGCGTTCTCGGCACCAACACCAACCACCAGCATGTCGTAGGGGACCTCGGTCTCGGTCATGTCACCCTTGACTTCTGAGTTGTCAAAGATGCGCACCACCTTGCGGTCGGGGTCGATGGAACTAGCTTCGGCCTCGTAGAATCTTACGCTCGCCTTCTTGGAGCGCAGAATTGTGCGGATGGGCTCCATGATGGAGCGGTGCTCGATGGTGCCGGTCGTGCATGATGGGAGAAGGGGGGTGAAGAGGAAGTAGTTGCGCGGCGAGATGACGATGACATTGTAGTTTTCGGTGTCGAGACGCTTCAGGAGGGAGACAGAGCCCCAGCCCGTGCCTGATGCGCATGTTAGCAGCTGTCAATGGGTGCCTTATGCGGTCTGATGCAATGCCATGCACTCACCGAGAATGACAAGCGTCTTCTTGGTCGGGTCTGGTTCGGTCTGGGGTTCTGGGTGTCTGTCCTCGTAGATGCCGTAGCCGATGTAGGCGACACCGGCGATGGCAGAGAGGTATCCCAACCTCCACGCCCACCTCAGCGTCCGGAATCGGCGCTTCTTGGGGGGCTGAGGGGCAGGAGCGGCCTGGTCGGCATACCCGCGCCTGAACTGCCTCGAGACAGGTCCTTGTAAGCTACCAAAGGCAGGTCTGGCGGCCACAGTCTTGCGTGATGACTGGATGAATAATCTGGGGACCTGGGAGGAGGACTGGAGCAAAGCGGCACCCGGACGGGGCACCGCAAGCTGTGCGAGGGCTCGCGACGACGAGGACATTGCCTGATGGGCAAACACGGAAAGGCCGGCGGAGAGCAGGAGAGGGGCCTAGGTAAAATAGGAAGAGTTCAACGTCGAGGCGACGGCGGGCGCAAGGCAGAGATACCGGCTGAGGGTATATCTAAAAGGCTGAGGGAAAGGAATAGAGACTGAGGAGGGGACTCGAAAAGAAACAGACGGAAAAAATGAAGCAAGATGTCGCAGGGCAGGGTGATAAGGCACAGGTGAGGTGGTGATGGTTAGTGACTAAGATGGAGCTCGGGAGACCCCTGTAAGCAGTTTCTTTTCAACTTTTTCGATTTTATCCTATTCGGCGCTTCTGCTCAGCGGGACCCCCACCCGCCCAGCCAGCCATTCAGATGCCGCGAGAGACACATTCAGCACTCCACCATCCCTCGCTGCCAAGGGGCTCTGCAAGGATCCCATGGATGACGACACAACTCATAGCTCAATTTTTCTCCAAAGGTTTGAAACGTCGCTGGCGATGCATGGCCATTGTCGCAGCAAAAGAGTCATTTTCTTAACTGCCGCGTCCGGAGGCTGGAGCACCAACAACCCACTGAGACAAGGGAATTTCCGCATTTCGGAGAAGGCCAGTGTGACAGTGGCAGGGCTGACAGACAGCGTGACGGCGTGGGCGGGAAGGAAACCGCGCAAACGATTCCGATAAGGGGCTGCCACCAGCACATGATAAACATATCCATACCAGAGAGCCTCGATGCGTCCAAAAAGGAGCAGGGACATGTTTGTCATCAGTTGCCTCCCCCCCCCACGCCCCTCCCATCATCTCATTATTTTGCGCAATTGGCATTTTGTTCCTGCGCCCCTTCAGCTCGTGTCAGCGGTGAGAATAGTAGGATGATGTCGAACGACATGCGATTGCAATTCGAGTCTGTGGTTGCGATTAGGGTGCATCCTGGATGTTTGTTCAACAACAAACCCCGCCAACTCCGCTATCACATGCGGGTCCAGCGTAATTGCACGGACCCTCCGAACGCTCCGCTTCCAGCTCCGACCCGGACGAAGTCTGTCAGTTGAAAATTCCGGCCCTGTACGGCCGTTGCCAAGTCGGGCCCGGAGCTGCCCCTTGTGGGACTGGGCTCTCCGGCTAAATGCTGTTGGGTCTCAACTCTCAAGCGCTGAGGCGCTCAGTGTCTTTGACAATTGACCAAGTCTCACACTTGATTATTTTGACTGTTGAAAATCTCAACAAGACGATCATTCCTTCCACAACCAAGGTACTAACAACACATGCTAACAGGGTCGCTCCTGCCAGTCATTACCGACTGCCACCGAGGCTGCTGTCGTCGGGAGAAGTAGGAACATGAAATGGAAGGAACATGTGAGGTGACTCCGACCAAACCCGCAACTTAGTTGGGGAAACTCTTGGTTATCTCCATTCAAGAGGCAAACAGCAAGTTTCTTCTCCAACCTACATCCGTCCCGAGGGATGGGAGTGCGAATCACCGCCTTCTTCCATTGCCGCCGTCCCGAGGCTCCGTCTTCAATTCTATTCCCATTCTTTTCAACTTCCGGGTGGCCTCCTCGGAGGATATTCGCCCGGTGGTTTGATCTCTGACACAGAAAACCTGTGTGCCTGATGCCCAGCCCGGCCCGCATCCCCATCAACGGCGCGCATGAGTGATCGTCAATGATCTGGTTGCCCGTCAACGCTGGGCCCTCGCACCCCGCATCTGGCTGAGGTCTGGCCTGCATTGCACACCCACCCCTGACCGGCAAGCGATCAAGATCGAGTTCAGGCTAGGTATCAAGACCACCACTGGCTCTTCACTTCATGAAGCTCTGGGGATTTCCCACATGCACTTATTCTACGCGACTGATCATCGCCATGCCGTCTTTTGTTCGATGCTTGTGAAGGCTTAACTGATTCTTTAAACAGAACCACAAGTCCACAGCATCATGTCGCAGTGGAAGAGCCTTGGCGGCGTCTCTGGTGTTGCTGGGTCGAAGCTCTGAGCTCCGTGTGTCTTGGCGATGGCCTTCGGCAACCTCCCCCGCCCCCAACCTTTGCCGACCAGAGTGAAAAACCGTCAAGTCACTGACTGCTCCGTGAGATTACGGATCCAGGCTTTGCTTTTCTCACTCTCGCCTACTTTTTCCTTTCCTCATGAAGCGATTGCTACCCCGGCTTGGTGTAAGAGAGCCAGAGCCGCTCTCCACATTTTGGCACTCGTCGTCCGGCTGAAACGCGACATCCGTGGCTGAGACATCGAACCCCTTGCTCTCCTGTCACAACTCAACTGCTCCCCTTTCCACTTTCAGACGTCAGGCATAGGCCAGTGCACATTCACCACGGGCACGCTGCCCCCAGCTTTCTTCACGTCAATGCCGAGTGTTGCACGAGCAGTCCCTGAAGTCCACCTCTTGGATGAGGCTCTTTTTCAGATGCGCCTCATTGGCTACCAAGAGGCCCCCCCCGCAGCCAGCAAGACAATGGCACTCGACCACACGATCCGAGTCTGGGAAGTCCCTGGCCCTGTTCCCAATCGAGCTGATGTCTCGTAACGCCCCTTCATCCACCCCCGGGCTGTGATCCCTCAGTAGGAAGGAGCTCTTGATTGTCCCTCTGAAGCCGGAACCAGTATCCCTGAGCCATCTCCGGCTCTTGGGTGTTCGGTCTAGGCAGTCTGCGGGGAAAGGGTTGTCAGAATGAGAGCTTGTGGTGTCGCTCGAGCCATCCTAGACGTCTCCTCTGGAAAGCTTGGGCTCTTGGTTCGTCATGCACCCACCCACTCCCCCGGAGGCGGGTGATCAGTCCTGGTTCTGACCTGTTACCACATTCTCTTCTCACCACGCTTTTCTTCCTTTCACTCCATTCTTTCTGCCGCCTGTTCCATTCTTTTCTTTCCGCAGGGCCGGTTTCCCTTTGCTTTAGTTCTTGTATACTAATTTCATTCTGGGTATTTCATCCATAATTCTTTCCATTCCTTTCTGTCACTCATTTCAAACTGCGAGTTCATTTCTGTACCCGCTGGAACGCTGTATTATCCATCGAAAATTGAGGGCAGCTATCCATGAATTGTGGGATATGAATCGACTGGGCGGTCTACCCCGATCATCACTGGAAAGTTCCAAGGCAAACTTGAGAATCTTGAGAGGAGGGAATGGCACCTTTACGTCGTCAAACGAAGCCGATTGCTCGAGGGAGAGAAGGAGGTGCTCCCATGTTGGATGCTGGAGAGCTTCACATTCGACAAGAGAATAGGGACGACGAAGACGAGGAGACCCGCCGACGTCGGTTCAGATTTGGCAATAACCGAAACAATAATGACGGGGACGGTGACGGTGACAGCAATCGAAACAGCAGATTTGGCGGGGGAAATCGCGGCGGTAATAACGACGACAACGACGATAACAACGGTGGTAGATCTGGCAACAACAGGGGAGGCAACAACAGAAACAACAGATTTGGCGGGAATCGAGGTAATAATAGAGGGGGCAATAACAATAATAACGGCAATGACAACGGCGATGATGACAACGACGGCGGTAACGGAGGTAACCGGAATGGCGGCAACGGAAACAGACGATTCAGAGGCGGATTCAGAAATCGAAATGGGAATGGAAATGGGAACGGGAATGGGAACGGGAATGGTAACAACGGGAATGGTAACAACGGAAACGATGACTCTAACCCGCCAGAGGACTCTCCCGAAGCAGACCCTTCCGTGACACCGCCGCCCTCGGGGGACTCCCCGCCGACCGAACCGCCCCCGGCCGAGGTGCCAGCCGATTCTGTGCCAGCCGAAGATGCCCCAGCCGAAGATGTACCAGTCGAAGATGTGCCAGTTGAATCTGTCCCGTCTGCAGATTTTGCAGCAGAGCCCGTACCGGCCGAGCCGGCACCAGCTGAGCCGGCACCGGTTGAGCCTTCGCCACCAGAAGCCATACCTGTCGAGGGTGTTCCTCCAGAAGCAACACCTGCGCCAAGCCCTCCTCCAATATCAGGAGATCCTGGAGCTCCGCCCAACCCAGGCGTCATCGTTCTACAGTCCCAAATACAAGCAACGCCAACAGTAGAAGTGAGTTTTCAGGGATGAAAATGAACAAGTCCCTCTTTGCTAACTTTGCGCAGGCGGTGCCGACTGTGACTGACTTTGTACCTGTCGAAACGGCGACCAACCTGGATGGGACCACCGGGCTTTCGACAGAAATTATCGGAAACGGCTCACGGTCAGACGGAGCTGTTCCCTTCCCCACGGATCCAACACCAACGTCGCTTCCAGTGCCTGATATTGTAAACCTTCCTGGAGGTGATCGAGATGCTTCTGGGCCCACCAGCACTGTTATTCCCGATGATAGCAACCGCATTGAGGCTCCTCAGGGAGGTATGGATCCGACCGCGGAGAGAGTCCTGATCTCTGTGGGATCCATTGGTAGGTTGTTGCTCTGCTTTTCTTTTGAGGCATATTACTAACAAGAATAAATAGGAGCGTTTGTCTTGATCTGCTTTATCGTTTGGATGGCACGAAGAGCAATGAAAAAGTCCCGACTATCCAACAGTGTGGCCAGTGCAGGATCTGGCGGAGGGCTACCATTCTTTGGACGCAAGAACTCGCACAAGTCGGCGCCTTCTACTGTCACTCTTTCCCCCCCTCCAAAATACCGCGAGAAGGAGGGGGCCCATGAGGTCCCGCAAGTAGGGGAATATTATCCTCCAGAGAAGACACAAGAAGAACCACAGCCTTCATTGCAGCCTCCGCCAACGCAGGTCCAGCAGCAGGTAGCCGAACCACAAGTTCTCCAAGCCGCCTTACCTTTGCAGCAGCAGCAGCAGCAGCAACAACAACAGCAGCAACAACAGCAACCGCAGCTGCCACCTCTTCAAACTTCATTCCCTGCCCACCAACCGCAGGTGCCTTTCACCAACTATTATCAACTAACATACAATGCCGACATGACGTATGATCCGACAAACGCCTTCAATATCATGCCTCCAAATCTACGGTATTCTCATCAGCAACAAGAGTCCTTTAGTT